TAGATAGATAGATAGATAGATAGATAGATAGATAGATAGATAGATGGATGGATGGATGGATGGATGGATGGATGGATGGATGGATGGATGGATGGATGGATGGACGGACGGACAGTCAGTCAGTCAGTCAGTAAATTTAGCACATTTTGCTATCCAGTTTCTTCCTAGACAGTTTTAGGTGTGGGCTGCATTTTCTCTACCAACTCTTACTCTGTCTGAGGAAAGAAGTTTTGCTTTAGCAATTCTTTCAGTAGTGAAGAGGATAGAGAGACCCTGGTGAGTGATGTGTGTATTTTTGAGCCTATTCAATTAAAACGTGGACAGAGAATATGAATGTCCTTCTTGGCACCATACGGTCAACCTTCCAGTGGTCTGTAGTCTGCCAAGTTACCCACACTTCAATTAAAGCACAAGGAAAGACATAAGGTGGGAACCTCTCCAGTAATAGTACCACTTAGTGCAGTTCTGCCCTTGAGAAATTGTTGGATAGTTTCCCATCTGCTGAAATAAGCATCTACTCAATTTTCCTGATCTTAAATGTGATGGAGAATTTGTATCTAACGCTAGAATATTTTTCCCCTCCTGTGAGGCAGATTTCCCATTAGCAATTTTTGTAACCTATTTTGAACTGTAAAAGATAAGAAGAAAAAGAAAGAAAAACTCTCAGAATACCATTTAGAAAAAGGCAGTATTTTTTGTCATTCCCCCAGGAAATAAAGGAAGTACTTTCCAGAGAACTACTGTATTGTCTTCCTTATAAGACCCCTAAGTCAAATATAAGGAAATGACCACATAAATTATTTTTACATTTAGGAAATATTTAAAAGCTATTAGTACCTGAGAAACCTTTTATTTCTCATGAACCTGTATTCAGCTCTTGGCCAACAAGACTTTAGCTGAACTATTATGAATGAGCCTTTAAGGTATTTCTGCATTTGCAATTTTCTTCTTTAGTTAGAATAATATAATAACAGAGTTGGAAGGGACCTTGGAGGTCTTCTAGTCCAACCCCCTGATTAGGCAGCAAACCCTACACCATTTCAGACAAATGATTGTCCAATCTCTTCTTAAAAATGTTCAGTGTTGGAGCATTCATAACTTCTGGAGGCAAGTTGTTCCACTGATTAATTATTCTAACTGTCAGGAAATTTCTTCTTAGTTCTCCTTGATTAGTTTTCCATTAGTTAATCAACCTTTGCTGGTAAGAAGCCATGTGCAAAATATAATTTGTTCTGGGGCTGCTGTAAACACAGAGTGTCTTCCTGCAAGCTTCCAAGTGACAATGAGATTATTTCTTTGCCTCGGGTTTGGCTGGCATCTGTGACTGATGAAGTCACCCTACACAAAAGGACATCAGCAGGCAAGTCCCAGTGATGAAGCTGACAAAAGCCACTGCTCCTCCCCACTGCCCTGTGCCTTTGGAGTAAACCACTCTCCAACAGAAAGGTCAATGAAAAGGACCTCATGGTCTGTATGTATTGTGCTTCCCAGATATCTTTAAGGTCAGTAGTTACCAGCACAGCAGTCTCCGCTTGGATGATGACTGAGAAACTGAATAATGAGACCTGGTTCTTCTCGAGAAGCAAACAACATTTGCGGTTCTCCAAGTAAATATTCAATCAAGTAGAGGAAATCAAGCAATTCCAAAAGAAAGAAAGAAAGAATGAAAGAAAGAAAGAAAGAAAGAAAGAAAGAAAGAAGGAAGGAAGGAAGGAAGGAAGGAAGGAAGGAAGGAAGGAAGGAAGGAAGGAAGGAAGGAAGGCCCTAATCCCCCTCTCTCTCTGCCCGTACTGACAATGAAAGACTTGAAAGGGGGGAAAAGAAAGACAAAGAAGAAAAATGTCCAAAGTTTGCTGGGATCCTTCCAACTACCTTTGCCTTGTTGAGGTCTGAGATCTGTTGCTTCAATCTTCCAAGGGCTGCTGATGAACTGTGCCAGATTCCGTGTTTCTTTCCAACTGTTCTGAATCTCCTGTATCTGATCTCAAAGAAGGGAGCAGATTCAGCTGGAAGAGAGAAACCAGAATGGCATAGTCCAGCAGCAACCCTTGGAAGAACAATAAAAGCCTGTTGAGAGGTACCATTCTCTCTCCAATATGCTCTGTCCTCTCACATGATCTAATAGGATGAAATTGGCACACCTCAGCACGATGGTTCCTGGTTGCATTAATGCTTCTACTCGTCCCTTCCCATTACACATCTGGAGAGTTCCTACTTGGGAAAGGCTGATTAGATATTATCTACTATCTGTACAGCTCAACACCTACGGCTGTCCAATTCTTCAGATTTGATTTGAAAGACGGGCTTCAGAACGTGCAGTAATGTGGATGCCCTTCCAGTCTGTGACTCATTAAAGCAGTCATATCCACTTCCAGAAACTGCACAATCCTGGAAACTTCCTTGAATGAATCACAGGCAGGTGTTGTGCTCATGTTCCAAAGCACCTCTTCCAAGCTAAATCCTACTGCGTGTCTCCATCATTTTCTATATATCCTTATATACTGAATGCTAGCACAATTGCTGAAATATGGAACAGAAGCTCTTGAGTTCAACATTTACGGCTGCCATAAAATTCTCTCCAACACGAGGAAATTAACAATATACTTTATAGGTAGCAATTACTCAAAACAGCATGTAAAGCATTTTCACCAAATTTAAGGTTCATTACTTACCAGTTTTAAATCAAGATTATAAAAATACATTCTAAATATTATTTATACGGACATATAGGTCTAGTTTTCATTAGCACTTACTAAACCTCCGGCTTTCTTTTTCTCAGAATGATGCAAGAAACCATGACAACTATACCGTCATATTATGCTATTTACCACCTCTGATTGCACCCTTCCTCTCACATCACTTGACTTTAACAGTGCTATACATCAGGGGTGTCAAACTCAAGACCCGGAGTCCAGATCCAGCCCGCTGGGTGTTTAGATCTGGCCTGCGGAACTGCCCTGGAAACAGTGAAGGACTGGCACACGGTGCCTCTACCAGCGAAAATAGAACCTGGGGAGACTGCGCATCGCCCACCTGGACTCCATTTTGGGCAGCGACAGTCTTCTGCAGTCCTCTGCCAGTGAGAGGATTGTTTTCTCCAGTAAGAGGGCTGCAGGAGGCCATCATGGCTGAAAACAGAGCCTTGACGAGTGACGTAGAGCTGGCCACGCCCCCCCAGGCATGCCCCCACCAGCCCCGCAAGGTCAAACACAACCCTGATGCAGCCCTCAATGAAATTAAGTTTGACATCCCTGCTATGCATAGTCACGTATTATGTCCATTATATTTTATTTTTATTTTAGTAACAAGATGCGGTTGCGGTTTAGTGGTCAACATTAACATGAAGCCCAAATGTTTCATATGGATTTTTTTTTATAGCTTACAGGTTGATACAATAAGTAATAATCTTACATATTAGTCTAAGCAATGGGTGGAAACTGATCAAGAAGAGAAGCAACTTAGAACTAAGGAGAAATTTCCTGACAGTTAGAACAATACAGTATATGAAGAACGGTTGCTGGAATTGGGTATGTCTAGTTTAATCAAAAGAAGGACTAGGGGAGACATGATAGCAGTGTTCTGATATCTCAGGGGCTGCCACAAAGATCAGGGAGTCAAGCTATTCTCCAAAGCACTTGAGGGCAGGACAAGAAGCAGTGGATGGAAACTAATCAAGGAGAGAAGCAACCTAGAACTAGGGAGAAATTTCCTGACAGAACAATTAATCAGTGGAACGACTTGCCTCCAGAAGTTGTGAATGTTTCAACACTGGAAGTTTTTAAGAAGAGATTGGATAACCATTTGTCTGAAGTGGTGTAGGGTTTGCTGCCTAAGCAGGGGGTTGGACTAGAAGACCTCCAAGTTTCCTTCCAACTGTTATTCTACTTTACTCTACTCTATTCTAAACTGAACATATAAAACACAGCTGATGCAGCCTTCATACTTTTATTTATTTTAGTCTAATGACTAAAGAAATCAATCACATTAAGTTGCATAATCCCATAACTGTTCGGTTTCTTAGCTCTAGTTTTTTGGGGAAGGAATCTGATATTGTCCTTTATGTCTACTGTCAGAAAGGCCTCGCCACAAGAAGACTCAAGCAGGACATGTTTGGTGATGGACAGAGGGTGGAAGGAACTCTGGATGGCAGCTAAAGTTTTCTCTGTTTTGACTGCATTCTCAAGCAATTTATAGAAATTGAATAAATAAACACATAAATCATCAAATAAAATTATATCAACTCATAACTTCTCAGGCCCATGTTCCTGAAGAAAGTTTTCCTCTCTCTCACCACTTCCTGAGGTACTATAAAGTGAACACCATATTACCATATTTTTCATAGAAGGAGACTAAGTGCTCATTTCCAGATTCAACGATAATGAAATATAGGTAGCCCTTGACTTACAACAGTTCATTGAGTGACCATTTGAAGTTTCCACAGCCCTGAGAAAAGTAACTAATTACCCTTTTCTTTACACTTATGACAGTTGCAGCATCCCCCTGGTCACATGATCAAAATTTGGACGCTCAGCAACTGGCTCCTATTTATGACAGTTGCAGTGTCCTGGGGTCATGTGATCATCTTTTGTGACCTTCTGACAAGCAAAGTCAATGGAGAAATCAGGTTCACTTAAAAATCGTGTTACTAACTTAACAACTGCAGTGATTCACATAATAACTGTGGCAAGAAAGGTCATAAAATGGGATGAAACTCACTTAGCAACATACATTTTGGACTCAATTGTGGACGTAAGTTGAGGACTACCTATACAAGGAATATAAGCTACATGTAATGAGAGATGAAAGAGGCTGAACTTCACCCCAGGAGATCTCTATTCAGTACTGGCATCAAATCTGGTTTACTATTTTTAAAGTAAAGAAACATCCCATACAATCAGTTCTTCATGTTGGATCTTAGTTCTCATGAACAGAGTAGTATTCTTAAAGAGTTATTTTACCAGTTCAGACGGAAGGCCTGAGAAAATATAAACAGAAGGTACCTGAAATGTCACAGGTCTGCTTGTTCCTTGGTGAGAGTGTTGGTGGTACACTGTGTCGGTAGACAATATGTGGCTTTTTATTCTCTTCTTCATATTCTTGTTGGTCAGGTGATATGAGCGGCTCTACAAAGTATTCTCCATCATGAGACCTAAATGTGCCTAACTGAGAAGGAATGAGAGACACATCACATAACTTTCAATGGAGCTGTGCTTAAAAAAAAAGATAATAAAAAAAGAAAGACACCAAAGTTTAAGGGAGATTTATAAATCTTCTGCTGAGAACTATAGACGTTTCTTTGGCCAACAAGGTTTTTTTTCCCTGGTTTTGCTTTATATGTTTTATCATTCCTAAGCTTCCTGCAGGTCAGCCCTTTTTGAGGCCAGGGTAAAGGCTATGCTCCAAAAAAAAGATGGGGGATGAAGCCACAAAATTATTTTTACTTCCTCATGAAAATTAAACCAAGTACATTCAAGTTGATATAATTGCTCCCATACGTGTAATAATTTCCCCCTTGGATGACAACAAAATTATAATTTAGTAGCTACTCCAGGAAGGCTCTCACACTTGCCTACCCAAGTAGAAAACTTGTCTAGCTGTGGATTCTTGAATGTACACTCAGTTGCCAACCTGAGTTGACCTTTACTTAAAACAGGCTGCAATGGTTGGTCAACTTGGTAAGTGCAGGTTTGGTTAGCACTTGCAATGGTACTGGAGACTGCCAGAGAGCTATATTATCAGCCTGGGAAGTTGAAGATCTCAACTGGAAGAATGCAATGAATGGCAAACCACTTTTGTACTGCGGGTACAAAACTTAGCTCAATGGCTCTGTCCGTGAAGTCACCAGCACAATTTAAAGGAGACACAATGTTTTTCTAATGCCAGCTTGCCCAGCAATAAGGCCTTCCAGTCACTGCCACCATCCTGCAGAATGGGAGAACATACCATAGCCAAGTCGCCATGGCCAACTCACCATGGCCAACTCGCTGTCTCACTGCGGGACAACTCACCATGGCCAACTCACTGGGAGAACACATTGCAGGACTATTCAATCGTTCAATTTAATTATTTAAAATAATTACAAAATTATTTTAATTTTTGTCATTCCCGTTTCATTTTGTCCCTCCTTTGGCATACTTTCTTTTAATGATTCTATTCTACTATTTCTTCTATATTAGTTGTAACTCTTGTCCTATGGTGAGTTGTCCCATGGTGAGTTGGGCATGCAGAGCTATCCCATAGTGAATTGGCTGTGGTGTGTCGGTGCAGTAAGTTGGCTATGGCAAGTTGTTGTAGACCAAGGGTCTTCAAAGTTGGCAAGTTTAAGACTTATGGACTTCAACTCCCAGAATTCCTGAGCTAAGATGACCAGAGAAGGAATTCTGGGAGTTGAAGTCCACAAGTCTTAAAGCTGTAAAATTTGAAGACCCCTGTTGTAGAGCCACAATACCCTGTAGTATGGTCAACAAATCTAGAGCGTAGCATTTGGAGAATGGCTGGCATAATTTATGAAACAGTTTTAAACTATTTTAGATAGTATAGTACAGGGGTGTCAAGCCTGATTGCACTGTGGGTCATACCATGACATATAATGCCATATCACGACGTATCAGGATGTTTTTTGCCTTTCCGGAGCTGGGGTGGTCGTGGCCTGTGCAAGCCATATCCCACCCGTGGGCCGCCAGTTCGACAGTCTTAGTATACTAGTTTCAGGACTCCCTATCAGATTCAGATTCCTTGATTAATTTATCTCTTTAAATTTTGGGAGCCTTATTAATACCACAGTGACGCAACCAGAGAAATCAACAACCAAAAGGGACATTTTCCCAGGAAGTATGCTTTTAGTCAGCCAGCCTTGTCTTCAACCTGCCTCCCAAATTAGTTGCTCATCCAATTTCTTGGAAAGGAAAGAGTTTGGTCTCATGGTTAAAGCACCAGGTGGGAAACCAGGAGACTGTGAGTTCTAGTTCTGCCTTACCCATGAAAGCTGGCTGGGAGACATTGGGCCAGTCATTCTCTCTTAGTCCAACCCACCTCATTGTTGTGGGGAAAATAGGAGGAGGAATGAGTATTACCTATGTTCACCACCTTGAATTATAAAATTACAAAAATAATATAAGAGAAAAATAAATAAATAAATAAAGTGGAAATTGACCTGGAAACCCAAGCTGAGGCAATATAATTGTAACTGACCCCTTCACATTTTTCACCAGGCCAGTATCTCACCAACACAAGTTCAGGACTGTATGTAACAAAAACAAAAATACAAAAAAAACCCAGACTATGGGGGAAAGGGATTATTTTAATGTACAGATAGCTCTGCAAATTAAAGAGTTTCCTTGATAAAATAAGAGAAGTCTTTTTAAAAAACCCTGCTCCTTCTACCCTAATAAAAAATTGAAAAGATCCATTGGGTCTTTCTCTACAAAATTCAGAAACACTGCTCTAAACATCCTATAAATGCAGGAAGGCACTGTCTGCCACACAGTACACACGAAAGGCAGATGCTACACAACAGAGCCTTACCTCCCCCACATTGCAGGGGTAACTTCCAAGTTACCCCGGGGGGAGGGCTCCTCTTGCCATCTGCCACAATTCATTTTGGACCTCTCTCTGGACAACCTTCTCTTCTTTCCACCTTAAGTCTCCACAAACAAGCCTGGCCTCCCTTAAGGTTGACCTTCCATGAAAGCAAATGCCAAATCTTGCAGTGCCTTATCTACCAGGAAGTGGCTGTGAACTGTTTCCCTCCTCAGCTTCAGCCCTGCTTGCCTGGAGGGCTGGGAAAAACACACTCCCACCAGGTCCGCTGATTCCCTTGGGAGAACTCTGGGGCGGTATCGGCCCTCCTCCTTCTCCTCTGCCCCACCCGCCAAACACCAGAGCATTACAACAACAACAACAACAACAAGCCCAGAAAGTGATCACCACGGTACAAACTGGAGGAAGTCAAGATGGTTTGGGGGTGGTGGTGATGGAGAATTGGGGGCTCCCCATTCCTTCAGCCCCTTCCTGTTTGATGAAGGGCATTGCCAACTGGACAGTTCGGCCTGGCTGGTAAGTATAGCTAAACTCAGCTGCTTGCATCCTTTTTTTAGAATACTGAAGAAGGAAAGAAGAGCCTAGCTCCCTCACCCCTCACCCCAATTATATTTGCAGAACAGATCTAGAAAATCAGAGGAAACCAAACCCCTACTCCTTCACCACAGACAGCTACCAAACTATGATTTCTCCCCCCAACTCCACAAAAAACTTTGAGCTGCTAAGAGCACAAGTTTTCCAGCGGAAGGGGAGTAAAATCAAATTACTGATTTGGTGCTTTGAAAGCCTCTCCTTTACTCTCCCCCTCAACTGCTTTACTTCTAAACGGTTTCCATGTTACAGGGGTGGTGGGAATGGTTCCTCTCGGTCCAAATGTAGGCATGCTGACAATTTGTTGCCTTTTTCAAATCCCAGTTCCATTAAACGGGAGCAACTGGTTCTTAGCATTGGCACTCAAATCTGCGTGGAGTATACTTTCTGTCCCTAGAGGGAGCGAGGGAGAAGGAATCAATTACGCAGTTTCTGTTTGCTTCCTTCCACCTTAAACGCCTCTCGGGCCTCCAAGTGCCACCCTTGTTTGCGGTTCAGACTCAAAAGCTCCTCACCAACCCACTCAGCGGCCCCTTCTTCCCAAAAGCCACCTGGGGTAAACCCCACCTCCTCGCTTTCACTCCCCTGGCAAACATCAGTCTCCTTGATGTTAAGATGTTGAAAGTCTTCAGGGACGCAGCTGTTGCCAAGTGCACAAAACAAGGCTCCCAAACTACCTGTCTGGGATGACCCTTAAGAGAGAAAGTATAGAAATGGTTCACGACTACTTGCATGTTGCTGGCACCTCCCAGGATTCCCCTCCTTTCTTCTCCTCCTCCCATCAATCAAACTGAGAGCTCCTTAAAAGCAAAGCCTTTGACTCTTGAGGTTTTGCCATACACTCCAGTAATGATTTCTTAAGTTTTCTGCCACTAGATAGAAGTTATTTATAATCTAAAAGAAAGAAAGTGGCTGGGCAGGGGGCAAGGAACCAGGAAAAGAAAGGCACCCTGTTGTAGTGTTGATCAGCACAACTCTGAAGAAAGTTTTGCTGTGCTTTTAAGTTTTGTTGCAATCAAAACCAAGAAAGCAGTGGAGAAGACAAGAAAGAAAAGAGGTTTAAAAAAAACAGAGAATGTGCTTCCCACTCTCCTAGCAAGATCCAAAGCTGGGAATGGAGGTTTTTTTCCTTAATTTTGATTGGCATCCTGTAAATAAAACTCTGAATTCAGCAAGACGATTATACACACTTACCATCCCAGAGCACAGGCTTATGACTGCTGTATGTTGGGGCTCCGTGTTGACATGTCCTTTATAGAAACAGTGCTTAATATCACTTTCCTCCTCGGTGTAAAAGTTAGTTTGGTTAACCTCGGGTTGTCCAAGGAAGCTGACCGTGAAAAGAGGGGCAATAAATCCCGAATGGGCCGTAAGGTTGAAAATGAAGTGCTGCCCAAAGGCTTGCAGTCTATAATGCACTTGGGTGGTACTGAAAGAAGAGGAGGCGATGGGAGGAGAGGGAGCATCCAAGATCCAAGGCTCAGCTTCGGAAGGAAGGCTCCGTTTCCTTCTCTCAAAGTGCACCTTTGCAGGCAATGGTTCTCCAAGCTCATTCACACGGGTCGGGACAACAATCTCGTACTCTCTCAGCGTCTCCAGCAGTTTGGCTGTGAAAAGTTGACATAGGTGCCCATGAATGCATAAGGGGGTGTGGGTGTGCGCGTGCGCATGCGCAAACTATTTAACAATACTTTTTTTACAGCTCTGGTCCAACAAGGAGAGATTAATTTAGTCAGCCACGAAGGAATATTCTTGTCAGAACCGATTAGAAAGCCCTTCTAAAACTTTAGCACCCAAATCAAACTCCTTCCTTTTACCCACCCAACTCAAGTTCTGCAATATTGCCAAAGTTGACCGGTCTCTGCGTCTGGTCCCACAGGTGAAAAGCTGGCAAGCAAAGGATGCTGAATTCATTTTTAGTCTTTATGTAACCAAGCTCAGTAACTGTGAGCAGCACACCCAATCAGCAGCATTTGCAGCATAAAAAGAAACTCAGTTAGAACCTGCAAATACTACTTCCAAAACAGTCCCATTGCAGCATTACAGGTAGGAATACAATAATTGTTCGCTATTAACATACCATAAACTCATCATGTAGGAAATAAGTATTTTCATTTAATAAAAAAATAGCTTTGCAAGAAGCTTCTCAGGCTCCCAGAGAATACTGTCACCAAAAAAGTCAAAGTATTGCCAGGAGGCACAGTTTAAAACTTGTGCCCCCTGGCAATATTTTGACTTAAAAAAAAACACAACCACCTTATTAGCTTTAATGCAAAAGGCCAAAGTGTCAAGAGATGAACAGATATGCTTGCAAGTTATGCATGGTGAACGGGTGGGGTTTTCTTTTTTTCCCTTTCCCCCGTTTTCGGGGTGGCAAGAGGACACTCGGTGACTCCCTGATCGGTGCTTTCTAGGACATGCACGAAAAGAGCCACCATGAATAAAATTAGCATACATTTGTAGGCGGAGCTGCTGGAGAGAACTTCAACGGGCTTAACACCGCTTTCTGAGCTTTTGCCGTTTTTTCTTCCCCTGCGGCAATGTAGAGGAGGGGGAAGAGAGAGAGAGAGAAACGAGTTGGGGGGACAAGAACAACAAAAAAAACCCCAACAACAACCTGACCTCACACAAAGTAACGCCGAAGTCGCCGGCTCTCTTTCCGACAACTCTGCGCGCCTGCTCTTGCGACTTTTTCTCCAAGTCCTGCCAAGCATCTTACCTTGTCGGAGATGCCTCCCTTGCTTTCTGGCTGCTGCTGCTGCTGCTGCTGCTGCGCCGGCTCTATTCAAGAAGTCTTGCAGGAGTAGCGTGCTTAATCCTACCGCCCATAACACCAGCTGCATGGTGGTTTGTGCCGCTTCGTTGCAGCGATCGAGCTTTCCACCCCCCTTGGCACCCCCCCCAAAGTCCTCCCTTCTAGTTGCTTGGGGAGGGGGGGCGGAGAGGGGAGGAGAGGTGGTTTATTGTCAAAACTCCCGAGATCTTTTCTCCCTTCCTCCTCCTCCTCCTCCTCCTTCCCCCACAACGCTTTCCCCGACTTCACTTTTATTAAACTTGAGGATCGCGCTCATCTAATTGGGTTTCTCGGGATTCGGCTGTGGCGAGAACTGTCCGCCCTGGAGCCAGTCGATCGAGAGGAGAAAAAGGAGTCGAGCTCGGGAGAGGATAAACACCAGCATCGTGCTTTTAGCGAGAGGGGCTGGGTGGAGGGGACGGAGGAGAGAGAGAGAGAGGGAGAGGAAGGAAAAAAAAATCAGCCCCACTAAGCTGCGGCTCCCCTTTTTCGCCCTCCGCCTCCTCCTCCCCCCCCACCCACCCACCCCGTTTCTCGGCCGCACTTCAGGGTCCTTGGGATTCCCGAGGAGGCGGGATCCGAGAGTTCCCGCCTCCCGGGAAGGAGGGGACAAAAGGCGGGAGAAGGTGGGGAAGGCGAGCGCTCCTGCCTGCCGCTCGGCCGGACGGGTTGCTGTTTGGTGGCGCGGAGGCCGCGGCGTTTTGGGGCTTGGGAAGTTCATGCCCTTACCTTCGGTGGCGGGGAGGCCAAGGCCAAGCCACTGCAGCATCCCTTCTCCCTCTTACAATTTTCCTTCAGGGGGGGATCCTTTCCCCACATAATGTCCGGGCACGCTGGCAGGGAAGGCACCGGCCCGAAAGGACAGCGCGTCACTTTTTGCGCGTGTGTGCAAAAGAGCTCCCTTCTTCGCTTTTCCCGTTAGGAACCCGCCTGGGTTTGTGCTCTGAACCTCTCTTAAGGTTAGCCGCTGATCGGCCAAGCTTGCCTCAATTTATCATCCCGTTTGATAAAAATTAACCCGGGACCATCGAGTATCTTAGTAATATTTTCTGGAAAGTGCAGGGGTTTTTCATATATATGTATATGTGTGTGTGTGTGTGTGTGTGAATACACATACACACACCTCTTTTTTTCCCTGCAAGTTTATTTAGGCATGAACTATTGGGAAAGAAGTAACTTTTACTGATGCTACCTTTTTTTAAAAAAATTGTATGTTGTACTTGGATGTAGGCTTCATTGTCATCAATATTGTCTTTTCAGGAAACAAAATGTAAAACTGATCATATAACATTCCCGAATCAATGCAACTTAATGTATTGGACAGGTAAACACAGTTGCCTAGAAAAATAATTGGGAATGCATTTCTAGGCACATCAGAAATAGTATTCACTCTGCCTCTCTTATACCCACATTGGTCTCTAAACCAAGGTTATACAGACACATGCAAAGATCTATGATACCCTCATGTAGACAAAAAAGTGAACTTCACTGCTTGAAAAGTGAGGTGGTTATGTATAAAGTTGGAGGTCACAATCAGCAATACAAGGTAGTTACTCAGAAAACATAAGACGGGGTTGGGATAGTCCAATAGCAATGCCCCACCTTCTAATAAATTATAATAAAGCCTGGATGAGAGCAGCGTACATGTTCATCTTAATGTACTAATGTAGGACACATCCACCAACACATCCCTAGTTTAAATGAACTAATAATCCCCTTTCAATTGTTCTTTTGAAAGATTGCTGTGTTGTAGAAGCCAATCTGGTCTTGCAGAAGATACTTAGGCCTGTGCATATACCTCTACAGAGGTAGTCTGGTGGCCATCCAGTCCCCCTTAAATCCTAAGGAATAGAGAGAATGGCCTGTGCCCAGTGGCGTGGTGGGGAAGAATGACTTCAATAGCCAGTAGGAGTTGGGCAGATCCCAATCCCTGATCATGCCACTGCCAGCATTTCAACAAGACATCAATTGTCTGTACTGCACGTTTTGTGTCGGGAGAAGAAGAGAAAAAGCTCTGTAATAGCAAAGGAACTAAAGACTATTCAGGGTCTCTCTGCAGTAGGTTAGGGATGAGACAGAAGCAATGTCAGGGGCACAGCTCTCGCAAAACTGCTTACCAAGGTGTTTTTGTGCCACAGTAAGTAGGATCAGTCCTTGGTTAACCATAACAATTCCTATAAAATAAATACCAGCAGCGTAAACATTAAAATGATGACATCCGTCTCTGCTACATTAAAGTTACAATGAAGTAATTACGGGACTTGCTTCATTTGCAAATAACCATGCTACAAACTTGCCTGGACAACATCTTTTTTTTCTGTGTTTCGTGATGCGTCTCATCTTTAACCCACAAGCAAGACAGGCTTGAGCTGTCCTTAGCTGCACTAGTGTTAAAGGAATATTTGTCATTTTATCCTGACACTGCCCAGGGGTAAGCTGAAGACATGGAAATTCTGATAATTGTTACCTATCACCTTGGAGGCACCTGAGCTGACGGGGATCAGCAGCAATAGAGCTATCACAATTAGGAAAGCAAATTTAATGCCGGTACAGTTTTTTTATTTTAAAGAACAGGAGGATAACCCTTCAGTTCAGCTGTGGGGAAAGGCCACAGAGTGGTATGGGATTATACAGGATTTAATAAATATGTTCTCTTTTCCCCGCTTCTTTTTGGTGACTTTGAGTCAGTGTTAACTCCTGGAAACTACATGGACAAGTCCTCCCAGTTTTCTTGGCAAGATTTCACAGGTAGTTTGTCTCTGCCTTCTTCCTAGGACTGAGAAATAAGGACTGGCCCAGGTTCACCCAGCTGGCTTCATGTCTAAGACAGAACCAGAACTCTTGGTTTATAGCTTGGTATCTTAATCACTACACCATACTGGTTCTTTCTTCTCATCTAATTTCAGGATAGAACTAGAATTAAAAATAAAACTCTTAAATGAATCTTAAATGTTATTCATTTTATTTGGAATTTTTCTCTGGTATACCCATTCCAAGGACATTCAAGTCTTCTTCAGAAAAGCCCTTGAGGTGGTTAGAATGAAAGTAATATGCCAAAAATCAAGTTTTGAACTGGGCACTTTTAAAAACTTTCATTGTAATTTAAAAATTCCTGTTATTACACCAGTGCTGTTTGCACAACAGCCTTTGATCAGCAAGTCAACTAACCTAGTTAAGTCTTCTAACCCAGTGTTTCTCAATCTTAGCAACTTGGACTTCAACTCCCAGAGTTCCTCAGCTGGAATGCTAGGGGGATTCTGGGAGCTGAAGTTCAAACATCTTCAATTGCCAACTGATGGTTCAGGCAACATTGCAATGTGGCTCACTTTCTCCTAGAAGTGATTAGTATCTCATGAACTTTTGCACCACAAAGTATCTTTACAAATGCAATTGGTTCAAAGTTGGCTCCGTGGACAGAAGTAGGTATGGCTTTTGTGCTACAGTCAACCAGTGTTTGGAAACAAAAGGATTTTTTGCAGTGAAATCCAAGGTGGAAGAGCTGGGCTTCATAGCTGTGTTATAGCTGCTTGGGCTCGCTTCAAACAGTGAGATGGATGGCAAATAAATTTTATAATAATAATAAGAAATAGCAGACTATCTGGTTAACTGCTGCAGAAAGACTGCATAGATTAACCACAAACAATGCCACTACAAAGTAGCAACAATGGTACATTGGAAGATCTGCAAGAAAGATTTGTCTGCAAGCAAGAAGTGGTGAGACCATAAAATATAAAAAGTAATAGAAAATGAAGAAGCTAAAGTACTAGGGGACTTTAGAATTCAAATAGCCAGGCACCTGTGACATAACAGTCCAGACTTAACAATTGTGGATAAGAAAGACAAAGTCTGGATAATGGATGTGGCATACCTGAAGACAGCAAAATAGAAGAGAAAGAACTGGCGAAGATAACAAAATACAAACACGTGCAAATAGAAATAGAATGATTGTGGCAAAAGGAAGCAAAGGTAATATCAATAGTAATAGGTGCCTGGGCTGGGGTGCAATCCCAAAATAACTGGAGCACCCCTTGGATACCATTATCATTGACAAAATCAGTGGTCAATTGCAAAAGGCAACTTTACTTGTTTTTGGTTATTTTTTTAATGGCTTGATTAAAGAACATTAAATTCACCATACTATGGAAACCCATAACATGGGTTAATTTGGAAACGGATTACATGTTTGTGTGAAGACACTTTTTTTTCTTAATAGGATTGATTGGACAGAACTTGGAAAGTACTTTGAACAGAATATAGCATTCACACAATGCAATGTATCAAATGACGATAGCCTAACACATTCACCTAAACCTGGAGCTGTCTAATATTAAACATAACCTTCTACCTCTTCACTGCTGATTGAATTATGGTGTTTGCACAATATACTAATCTCGCCATTGGCAATCAGGACCTGGGCTACAAAATAATTACATATTTTTGAACTCATTCATTGTCTTCTGCAATGCATCATTAGACCATCTTAGCTCACCTTAAAATATAATGTATCTAAATCAAATGGGCTCCAGTTATAAATGCTTATGCGGCAATAAAAATTACAATTCCATGTTCCCAGATCTTTTTTCCAGACATTCAAAGCACCTCATGAAACATACAGTATGTTAGTCACGGCAAGCTTGTGCTCTTGAGTGATTTCTTTGTTCTTCTGATTGTTATCCCACTTTTCCTTTCCTGCAATTTTATACTCCCTACAATGTGAGGTTAGTTAGGCTTGTGAGGTTAGTTAGGCTAAGATGGGGACTGGGGTCAGCATCCTTCAGTAAGCCTATTGGTTTGCACAGAGTCTATTCATATCCAAGTTGACATCCATAGCATCTATTCTGGAAAGTCAGAAACACTGAATTATAGAACCAGATGTACTACATTGCAGGTAGAATACACGCACATACTACAAAATTGTACACAGTTGATGCTATGGTTAATAACTAGCAAGTTGAAAAGTGAAATACTGGTCTTTCATCTACACTCCACAGCATGTGTGGGCCTAAAGTTTAAATCATTAAAATTAAATACTTTTAAAGTCCATTTAGTTTAGTGTGAGAGTGATAATAACAGATTTTTACCC